CCTGCTCTTGATACATCTGAGGGGAAAAAAAACTCTCTGTGTGTTTGGGTGAGAAAACTTGGTTAGGACATTTTCATTCCCCCTACACTGGCTTCCTCAACAAAGATGCCACAATGGGGGAATATCATCCTTTGAGCCTCGACACAGGGAAGATGTGGTCAAGAGAGACCCAAAGAACCGAGTACAGTGGAGCATGGAGCATGCCTTTAATCCCAGCACTGGAGAGGCAAAGACCGGGAGATCGCTGTTATTTCCAGACCATCCTAGTCTACATAGAGAGTTCCAGAGCAGCTAGGACTATGTAGTGAGACCCTGTCTCAAGAACAAACCTCCAAAAGACTAGAGTACTATCAGATAAGCCCTAGCAGGAGGAATGTTTGAGCCTAAGAGTTTGAGAATAGTCTGAGCTAGTGAGACATAGTCTCGTAATGAGATCTCATTTAAAATAAAATAAACAAATGAGTAAATAATAAATGTAAACAAAGCAGATCCTGAGGCTGGAGAGAGCGCTCAGTCAATAAAGTGCTTGCCATGCAAGCGTGAGGACCTGGTTTTGAAACCAAGCACCCACACGGAGAAGCTGGGCACAGCAATATGTGCCTACAATCCCAGTGTTGCGAAGCAAGAACAACAAACTCTCTGAGGCTTGCTGGAAAGCTCCAGTCTCAGTGAAAGATCCTGTCTCAGAAGATCAAGTGGACAAATGAAGGAAATCACCCAGCATTCATCTCTGGCTTCTACATGCACACATATGCACACCCACCCATATAAACATGAACACCTATCTATACCACACATGCACACACATACACACACACACACATATCTTAGCCATTAAGAGCATGTACAACTCTTGCAGAAGACCCAAGTTGGACTCCCAATATACCCATTAGGCAGCACCCACTTTGGGGGCCTACAACCACCTAGTAACTCCAGCTTTGGTTGGAGCGGACACCTCTGGCCTCCATGGATACTGGCACTCACATGCACAAATCTACACACGGGCATGCATGAATACACATAATTTAAGTAAAGTAAATTTTTTAATGCAAAATAGAGGCTGGAGAGATGGCTCAGCAGTTAAGAGCACTGGCAGCTCTTCCAGAGGTTTTGAGTTCAAGTCCCAGCAACCACATGGTGGCTCACAACTATCTGTAAGTGGAATCTGATGGCCTCTTCTGGAATAAAGGTGTACATGCAAATAAAACACATATACATAAAATAAATAAATTTTTTTAAAAATTTAGTATCGAATACAGAGAGAAGTGTGACTCAGTGGTAGAGTATTAGCCTAGAATCTATCAAGCCCTGGGTTCTATTCTGCACATGAAAAAAACTCTGATTAAAAATACAAAATACAGTTGGTGGAAGAACCCATTTTGACCAGTTACAAGGCCTTGGATTCAATTCCCAGAAAAAAAAAGAACAAAAAATAAAGTCATGAAAATTAATCAGCGTTTAATCTAAAACCATATTAATACTAGTAAAAGTCAAGAGACCCTAGTAGATGACACCATAAAAAGAATACAGGAGTTGGGCAGGTTCAAGCTGAGAGATTGGCCTTAGACAGAGGAAACACATTTTAAAGTTGTACAGCTAAAAAAAATGTCAAGTAGTAGATACATGACAGTAGAATGCTTGCCCAGCAAGTGCAAGCCATGTGTCTGATCTGAACTGAAAGATTGAAGTTACATCTGAGGGCTGGGGAGATGGATCAGTCAGTCAAGTGTTTTCCCTACAAGACTGAGGACCTGAGATTAATCCCTGGAACTGGTGTTTGTAAAAGCCTGGTGCTGTGATGCGTACTTGGAATCCCAGCACTGGGGAGGCAGAAATAGGCTGATGCCTGGGGCTCATGGAACAGCCAGCCAGCCTGCTTGTCAACCTCCAAGCCAGTGAGAAACACTTTTTCAAAAAGAAAAAAGTGAGGGTGGGGGTGGGACTTGAATAAAACCTGAGGGCTGAGGAACACAATGCAAGGTTGGCATCCACTTACAATCAAATACAGGAGCATCTAAAGGCACACATGCTAGTTCAGAACTCACATGAATATGCAAAATAGCTCACTAACACAGCTCTACCAGTGCTTGTTAGATGATGGTTTATATACATTAGGTTAAACAAAATGCATAACAAAAATTAATTTATCCCAGTACTCAGAAGGTAGAAGCAGATAGAACTCTGTTACATAATATGTTCTTGGCCAGCTAGGTCTACATAGTGGGACTCTGTCTCAAATTAATAAATGATAGATAAAATTTAAACTAAATTAATTTCATCCATTCCTTTTACTTCTTTTAAAATAGTCACTCAAAAACTGAAAATTACATGTGTAGCTCACAATTGTGATTTCATTTCTGTTAGATAGTGGCAGTTTAAAAGTCCTCAAATAGCCATCGGATGGTGCATCCCCTCAGGACAGAGGGGCCTCTGTTTAAAATGGGTCCGGGGTGAATGGATTGTGTGGGTGGAGACCATGGAGGAGGAACATGAGCCAGCTGGGGTAAAGACAAGAAAGCTGTGTTCAGCAGTTCATTTTAGGGTTGAGTGTGACCAGGGGCAGTCCCAAGACAATGGGCACACCCATACTGTGACAGAAAAGTCATTGTTACTACTCTTTCTTGGTTCAAAACATCAGTAGAGCTATACCCAGATATAGAATTTCAGACTTGAAAAAAAAAAAGTGCTGAACAACTCACTCAAACCAGCCCAACCCTGTGCCCCACCAATTGAGGAGGCAGAGCCAGAGAAAACAGACAACTGACAGAGATTCTCTTCAAAAACTTGTATTTTCGCTGCATGGGGTGGAGCACACCTGCCCTCTCAGCACTTGGGAGGAGGCTAAATAAGGAAGATCCAAATTTGAGGTCAGCAAAACCCTATCTCATAACAGAGAGAAGGGGGCTCAATTTTATGAGAAAAAGGCAGGGTCTGAACCCATTATACTATAATCCTGGCCCAGCTTCTCACTCCTCCAAAATCGGAGCCAGCTTCTCCATGTCATAATTAATAAAGTAGAATATCATTCTAAAATGCCCTGAGGCTCCAACCAAATTAAATGTGAAGGCCTCTGGGAAAATTAGAAGAGTCTCTGCAATTTTTATCTTCTTAAACACATTCCAGCAAGAAGGATTCTGGACCCCAAAGAACTGAATACAGACCCTGGGCAACAGCTTCTGAGACATGAAGCTCCAGAGTGGGATACCGCACTCAATCCAAGTCTCTGGCTGGAAGAAGCCTTAGTGGCCACCTAGTTCAGATGAGGAAAAAAGTTAAGGCCAATAAAAAAGTGAGATGTTACATTCCACCTTGAAATTAATTTCTGTAAATAAATTGATTATAAACTCTCCCTTTTCAGGAAACTAACAGGAGTGGAGTCTGAGGCTTGGTGTCCGTTCTGAGGCTACCTACATCATCAGATGTCCACTGTTCTTAATTCATAGGATTTTGCACATGTCTGCACATATTTATGTATATATGTATACTATATATACATGTAGACTATATATAGTATATATAGTGTGTATGTGTGTGTGTGTGTATGTGTACAACATGTGCCTGTCATGGAGCACATGTGGCCATCAGAGGGCAGTTTTTCTAAAGTCAGTTCTTTCCCTCCATGGTGGGTTTTGAAGATGGAATTTGGGTCATCATGCTTGCTCAGTAATTGCTTTTAGCTGCTGAGCCAGCCTGTGGGACCCTGAATGTGTACTTTGCTATCTTACAGTTTCAAAAACCACTGGTTGTGGTATATAACTATCAGTCTGATAATTTAAAAAAATTATAAAGATAGTTTTTATTTTAGTTTAGTTCAGTTTAGTTTTTCAAGACAGTTTCTCGGTGTAGCCCAGGATGACCTTGAACTCAGAGAGGTCCACCGGCCTCTGCCTCCCAAGTGCCGGGATAAAATTTTAATAAACTAGCCAGGCGGTGGTGGCGCATGTCTTTAATCCCAGCGCTCGGGAGGCAGACGCAGGCGGATCTCTGTGAGTTCGGGGCCAGCCTGGTCTACAAGAGCTATTTCCAGGAAAGGCTCCATAGCTACTGAGAAACTCTGTCTCAGAAAAAAAAAAAAATCTTTTTTTAATCAACTTATCTCAGGGTCTTCCTTCTTGCTCTGACAACATTTCTCTAGAGAATCTTGCTGGAGCTGGAATTCTCTGAGTAACCAAGTGAAATTTTCTGTTCACTTTCGCTTCTACGCAGTGAGAGGAGCGAGGTAAGCCTAATGCTGCATCTGATTTCCAGAGCGCAGCCTGCCTAAGGGGTACAAAACGAAGTCTGAACTTGAGGGCACAGAGCAAATGTGAGCCACGAGAAGCAAGCGTGATAGTTGGGCTGTGATTATTACTCTGAAAGCGAGTGCTCTCGGGTCAAAGTACAGAAAGCGATGGGCAAAGAGTAGAGGGATCCAGCACCATGGGCAGGGCCGCCAGAGAAGCCCTAGAGTGGGAAGATCGGTACCCGCAGATGGGAAAGCTCCCTGGGAAAATCTAACGGCTTAGCCTGAGCTGCAGCAGGCTCGAGGCTCTGGAGGAAAGGACAGCAGGTGGAGGTCGGACAGACTGGACAGTCAGAGGTACTTCTTCACAGAAAGGTGCTGCCCGGGATGCCGCTAGGGTCGTCCGAAGGTGGCGGCTCCAGGACGCTACCTCACCTGGGACCCCGCCGCTGCGCTCTCTGTCTCTGCCCGGGCAGCCCGGGCGCAGCTGGCCAACACCGCGAACCCGGATGGGTGGCCGGGTGCAGCTTCCAACAGGGCGGCCTTCACGGACGTGGTGCCCAAGTCGATGCCGAGAGTGACGGGTCGCGAAGCCATAGCCGCGGTGCCAGCGAAGTTCCGGTGGTTTGAGCAGCGCGCTAGCCCAGGAACACTTCACTGGGGAGGGCAGCACGGGGGCGGGGCTTCCCTGACAATCCTTCTGCCGCACGCAACATGGCGACTTCTTGTATTCCCATTGGCCAAGGACGGCAGACGGCCACACACAGCACCCCCGGCGATAGGTGGAGAGGCGACAGAAGGCGGGACCTATTGAGCTGAGGTTCCCAGACTGTGCGGCGCGTCCGAGAATCTTCACCAAAAGACGACAGAGGCTCCGAGAGTCCTGCCGCAGGCGCGACAAATGACTAGGTCTCCCCTCACATCCGAGCTCCCGTCCCTGCCAAGGTGCCTGCGCCCTTCCCTCGACCCTACCCAGCTTTATCGGTCTAGGATTCGTGAAAACTACAACTCCCAGAGCTCCTCGCACCGAACGCTCAGCTCCATAAACCAGGTGGTTCGGGTCAGGTGACAGCTGGCTCCGCCCTCGCACAAAGTCAGCGGAGCCCGAAGAGTTCTTTACATTCTGAAGAGGCATCTGGCGCGAGATTGCTGCTTTCCGTGAGGTCAGTCCACCGAGCCTGGGAAGCTGTCAGGTGAGAACCATCGCGGTCGGCACGGCCTCTCCTTTTCCTGGTAGGACACCACCCACCCGGCAGCAGACAGTAGCCAGACCTAAGAGGGGCAGTCTGCCGCGAATGCAGCCTCCTTCAGCAGCGCCTGGGTTTCTGTCCTCTGGCCCCAGCCCAGGCCTGCACAACCACAAGTTGAAGGGCCAGGTTATGGTGAGCAAAAGCACTGATAGCGGCTGCCAGCCAGTGTTGGTGGCACTGTTCGAGTGCAATTGGAACCCCTTGCTTTCCTCCTCTGGTGCGCCTCAGTCTGGCTTGGGAATGTGCAGGTGACTTGGGGTGGGAAGGGAGTTAGATACTGTTAGGACCGTTCCAGAAGCTCATGTTGATTCGCCCAGAGGAAGAAAGGACACCTGGGTCTTGCCTTTTAAGTAATATTGAGAAAAATAAATGCTTTGTGAGAGCTTGCTGGGAACCCTGGGTGGTAGCAGTAATAACATTACATCATTGTTTCTAAACATTCTTATCTTATCAGTCCACCTCCTTAAAATTTTAATACAGCTGATAAGCTCTGTTTTTTATATTATGGCTTTTGGGGGAGCCACAAATAATAGTTGCAGATATTTTCAGACCCCAAGAGCCTATTTTAGCCCCTTTTGAGAATTCGGGCCTTAAGTTTCATCTCACTTTAATTCTGTGGTGCGGTCCCCCCATTAGGAAGCCTCGGTTAAAAGTATTCCAAATTTATACAGCAGGTAAACGGGAAGCCTGAGACCTGGACAGTCCATCTCCAAGGAATATATTTCTTGTCCAGTCTATGTTAGTTATCCCTTGAGGACGTTCCAGGTTACGCACCAAGGGCAGGACTACATCAGACACCTGGCAAAGGAAGCTGCTGTGGAAGGTGTCTGATTCCAGGTTGCTCTTGAGTGGGGATGGTAGAAGCTCTGGAAAGCACCATGTGACTGGGGTCTGGAAGAAGGTTAGAACACACTCCCAAGATGGGCATGGCAAGTGTCTTTCTTTCTGAACAAGCCTAGTTGTGCGGTTAACCAATCTGATCATTTTAGCACTGTGGTCATCTTGTCGATTCTTTTTCATCTGTTCTGTGGTTTTTCTTCCTGATGTCTTAGCCTTTAGCACTGGGGGAGGAGGGGGCTTTTTTTTTTGCTGACACAGTGTTTGAATTTCATGGTCCATATCTGCTTCAGTGAAACTAGAGAAGAGATGGGTTTTGGAAAAAGAGAACACTCTGCCAGTGAAACTCCATTTATTTTCCTTTCCTGTTAACTGGGTTGTAGAAAGCAGTTGAGGGAATGGTACGGGTCTGCGCTCACTTCCGCAGAGTAAGACTTCACACAGCCCACTTAGCTGCTCTGAGCAGGTTTGCCCATTACACGAAACAAAGATAAGACCTCTCTGAGGTCTCCTTCTCGGAGGTTGTGATGCCAAGCCTGTGAGGTCAGCGGTCACAGAGCCTGTGAAGTAGAAGTCCTTTATGAACTGTCCCACTGCCATGGCTCAGGTAACATGTTGTCCACCAAGAGCTGAGCTAATTCATCCTTAACATCCCTCTCTCTTGCTGTTTGTCTTTTTTCCTAGTTCTGAGAAGTCAGAGAACATGATGAGGAATTGCCTGCTTATTTTGATCCTTTTCCTCTTGAACATCATAGAGAAATGCGGTAAGTTTAAGAGTGACTTCTCAGCTTTGTGAAAAGGGGAATAGTGGAAAGAGTAACCTCTTTGCGCGCTGTCCATGCCACCTACGGTCGGCCTCCCACCCAGTGAGATAACCAGATTCAGGTCTGGTATGGGGACACACAAAGAGCCAAATGGTCCCCAACACAATTGGCCTATTATGCTGGGGTGCCTCTTGCCTTTTCTGTATCAACAGAGATAGTAGTTGGTTATTTAGTCAGACCATACAACTGGCTCTCAGAGCCTCACCAAGCTGAGGTAGTATCTATAAAGAACAACTTGTGCTTCTGCCCTCTGGACCTCACGGAGAGAGTTGTGGGTCCTGGGAGACACTAAGGAGGCCTTGTGCCTGGTTCTTCCAGGCACAGATGCAAGAAAAGTCACCTGGCCCCACATCATAAGAGAAAATACCTTTCCCTTACAGAAGATCGGAGAGTTACAGCATCCTGAGCCACACAGAAAGCACGCTAGAGAGATCATACATCCTTGTCAGAGGATCCCTTCAAATACTGTTGTCATCCTTGAAATACCCAAGACATTTCTGGAATTCCTTCTGTGAATAGCTTTGTTTGGTACTCCCAGATCCCGGCCCATTTTAGTCATTAGGTAGGTCCTTACTCCAAGGCAAATGTATCTTAAAGTTTCTGACAAATAATTTCCAGGAGCGTGGGGCAAACACTAGAAGTCATACACATGTGCCCTAAAGCTGCACACACTGCCTGCATCCTTATGGTTACCTGGCCTCCTGATGGCCAGAAAACTGGTCATCTGATCGGCTCATCTAGGTTTGGTAAATATCAGTCATATTCCTTAGTAGTCACACCTTATGGAGAAGTAATCTCTGGGGGAAAAAAAGGCAAGGGGGGACTCAAACCATGAGTCCTGATCCTGCCACCTTTCTCCAGAGGGATGCCACAGCCACACTTCAGCCCCACTGAGTCAACTCTCTGGGAATTGGGTGCATGTGGTTGTGTATGCATGTGTGCATGAGCACATAAAGGATACTACCTAGGAGATCACGGAAAATCTTGCTAGTACTCCTAGCTACACAGAGGGTAAACTGAGACTCAGGCAGGGTAGAAAGCCTCACAGATAAAACTAGGACTGGAATAGAGCCTCCGTTCCATTTGCCTCTTTCTTCTGACCATCTCTATGAAGGAGCAATGGATGCTACCACAGAATTAAGAACCTGGAATTGGACTGGATCCCAGCCTCAGTCTGCTGGACTTTTCTTCTCTGTTTGGGGTGTCAGCATCAAGGATGACACAAGAACAGAAAGCCTCCAGAGTTTGTCACTTCTGACTTCTTTGAGTGGAATCTGTGGCAGTGCAGCCTAGTGGTAACAGCTTGGGCTTTGGACCCAACAATCCTAGCTTTGAATCCTCATTCAGTTGTGTGTAGCTATGGGAACAGGCCTCTTTCCCTCTTGCAGAAAGTTTCCTTGACTTAAAATAGGACTGAAAAATGCCCATTTCCATATATATATATATATAAATGGGGGTGATGAGAACAACAGAAATGGTGCCATACCTGTAGTCCCAGCACTCCGGACCTCACAGTAAGAAAGAAAGAAAGAAAGAAAGAGAGAGAGAGAGAGAGAGAGAGAGAGAGAAAGAAAGAAAGAAAGAAAGAAAGAAAGAAAGAAAGAAAGAAAGAGGGAGGGAGGGAGGGAATAGAGTCAGTAGCAATGACTGGGATGAGGTAGGGTGCAGAGTGGTACCAGCCAGTAGCAATTGCTTAGATCTATAATCCTTGCTACTGAGACAGGAGGATCACAAGTTTAAGGTACAGGTTATGGGACAAGATTAATTGAAGACTGATTGAACAATTTAATGTGACCCTATTTCAAAGTTAAAAAGAATATGGAGCTCAGTGTAGATCACTTACACTGTGTGTGTAAGGACCTGGTATTCAATTCCCAGTCTAGGAATGGGGGAAAAATCGGGAAGGAAAGATTGATTTGCTTTAGGGGAAACAAGGTGGTCTCCCTGTGGCTCCTGCTGTCCCCGGGTATGATACAGCTTCCCAACTGCCTCCTATCTTGGACTAAACTAGCCTGCAGTTGGAAAGTGATGACAGTAATAGAAACTAACAACTATTTAGTATTGAGGCCATGTAGAAAGTAGAAAGCATGCTGCTAACCATTCTGCATTTTATCTGTGAGATAGGTCTTATTCCACCCATTTTACAGGTAAGGCTCCACAGGTGTAGGCTTAATAGTAAAGTACCTTTCTACAGGTCACACAGCTAGGAAGTATCAAACCAGGATGGAACTGTGTGACTTCAGAGCCTAGAATCTCATTTGCTTGATTGAGCACTAGTGTTTTCTGTAGTACTGAGTGAGGATGATTTAAACGCTCTCTGATCTGATTCTTTGAAAGCTCCCATCTTCCTACTTTAATATACACCCTTTTAAGTGCCTACACGTACACATACAACATGCATGTGCTTGCCCCGAGCAGTGACTGGCTCTGGGTCTTACTTCTCTGACGTAGTCCTGAGCAGTAAATAAAATTTCATAGACTGGGATAGTAAGTCCTGTACTTCCCTAGCTGGGCAAGCCCAGAACAAAGCCTCAGACTGATAGGATTGCAGGCAAGATAGAGTTAGCATATCATGTAGGACAGAATTAGCATAGCAGGCAGGAAAGAGTTAGCATAGTGTGCAGGACAGAGTTAGCATGGCAGGCAGGATAGTTAGCATAGCATGCATGGTAGAGTTACCATGGCAGACAGGATAGTTAGCATAGCATGCAAGGTAGAGTTAGCATAGCATGCAGGACAGAGTTAGCATAGCAGGCAGGACAGAGTTAGCAATAGTGTGCAGAACAGAGTTAGCATAGCAGGCAGGACAGAGTTAGCATGGCAGACAGGATAGTTAGCATAGCATGCAAGATAGAGTTCGCATAGCATGCAGGACAGAGTTAGCATAGCAGGCAGGACAGAGTTTGCATAGCATGCAGGACAGAGTTAGCATAGCAGGCAGGACAGAGTTAGCATATAGCAGGCAGGACAGAGTTAGCAATAATGTGCAGGACAGAGTTAGCATGGCAGGCAGGAAACTTAGCATAGCATGCAGGGTAGAGTTAGCATACAGGCAGGATAGTTAGCATAGCATGATAGAGTTAGTATAGCATGCAGGACAGAGTTAGCACAGCAGATAGGACAGTTAGCATGGCAGACAGGACAGAGTTGCCAAAACAGCCTCCAGACTCTGAAGCTACAACAACTAATCTGACGTGAAGAATCCACTTGTGAGGGAGCTAGAGACTGTACTATGGAGAATCACATCTGGGAGACTTGTACTTTGGGTACAGCCACCATCTGCATTTGTACATGGGGACCAAACTGAAGAAAGCAGCTCAGATGTGGCAGAACTGGGCCCAGAAGTGTGAGTTTCAAGCTAGTAAGCACCTTGGGACATAAGGTGACTCTCCCAGGAAGTGTCCATGCAGTGGAAATACCAAGGGGAGACAGTTGAGGTTGGAGGAGGTGACACTGTTCTCTCCAACCTGAACTCTAAAACTTCAGGTCCTAGTTCTTTATCTTCTGCCGTGGAGGCTTCTGGGTAGAGGCCTACACCTCCTATCCCTATGGGAGCCATTCACCAGATGGAGCACTTTCTCTGCCTCCTAAGATACCCTTTCCTCTCTTAATCTGGATCCCTGATCATGACTTCTAGGATGTGCCTTTCCTTGAAGTCTGTAAGGCAGGGGAGGTGAGATGGCCAGGTATGCCCTGAAGCTTTGAATACCTTAGAATGGCACAATGACAAAGTGGGTGGGCTGTCCAAAGAATACAGGAATTATTCAAGCTAGCCAGCCATACCCTGTGACCACAGTGTGCTCGGTTATTTGATCTCCCAAAATGATCTTCCTTCTTTCTCTTGGCATTTTGTTTCATTTTGTTTTGTTTTGATGCTGAAGATTAAATTCAGGGTCTTATGCTTACTGGTCATACATTCTCCCGCTGAGCTATACTCCCAGCCTAGCCCTCACCCCAACATGGTTTTCTAAGACCCAAGCCTGTTTCCTCCCTTACCCTGGAGGCCTGTTTGTCCACCAGCTCCCGAGTTAGCGCCTTAATGCCAAGAAGCAAGCCCTGATAGTGAAAAGTGTACATCCCTCACCACTATCCTCCAGTCCCTAGCAAACAGCCTCAGAGAGGGAACCGTGCATGGGGTGAGCTGAGTCTGCAGGAAAGCCCCAGATGGTTCTTTAGAAACATGTTAGCCAGGCCTTGTGCCCACCTCAGAATCCAGGAATGAGACCAGACCAATTTTTCAGAGGGGACCCATGGGCTGTTTTCAATCTGTCTCAAGTCCGCCCTTAACAATCCCAGATGTTGGTTGAGCAGTGATGGCCCACTCCTTTAATCCCAGCACTCAGGAGGCAGAGGCAGGCTGATCTCTGAGTTCAGAGTAAGTTCCAGGACAGACTCCAAAGCTATACAGAAAAAAACAGTGTCTTGAAAAAAAAAATCACAGATGTTGAACTGAATGTCTGTTTTATAACTTTTGGGCTCTGTAGCTCCCAAACCATTGCTGGGGAACTCAGCTTGCCCACAGGGGGGAAGGAAGAGGAAGTTCCAGCACTTCCTGCTCTAAACTGTGGCAGTCTGCCCCTGGTGCAGAGATGGAAAGAGCATAATACAAGTCTGGAAGTGCACCTAGAAAACAGGACTATCAGTGAGTCAGGGCTAGTGAGTTCAGATGGCAGGGACCTGGTGCTCATTCCTCCTGTGGGCTAAACTCTTTGTCGTGGTGACTCATGGCATTGACTTGCATCTTTTCAGAGTCAGCTGTCAGTCTCACGGTTCCTCCCACTGTGAAGCTGGAAAATGGCAGTTCAACCAATGTCAGCATCACCCTTGGGTAAGTTTTCAGGCCCAGTTCTCTCCTCAGCCCCACTTGGTACTGACCTTTGGCACTGTCTGCATGTACTTCCGGTGTGATGCCCTTGCCTCTTTGTTGTAGGACATAAATAGAGTGGTACGAGTTCAGGATTGCAGAGCAGGGTCCCAAAGTCAAACACCTACAGAGTCTACAGAGTCCCTGTTTCCACTGGGAGGAAAAGGGGACACATTTCCCTAGAAATGTGAGCTGTTTCCTCTAGCAAGTAAGTCTTCTGGTGATCACAGGTGATACCAGACTTCAAGACCCTTTTCAAGACTAAGTATTTGATCAGAGCCCTAAAAGTCAAGGGTTGAGGAACTGAACTGCTGACCAGCAAGCACAGCTGAGGTCACTTGCCAAAGCAGAAGTGATAGTATCAAGGGGTTCTACCCGTCCCGGCTCACACTTAGCCTTTAACAGTCTTCCTTGTGTTTCAAGCGTGGTGGCGCACGCCTTTAATTCCAGGACTCAGGAGGCAGAAGCAGGCGGATCTTTGAGTTTGAGGCCAGCCTGGTCTACAGAGCAAGTTCTAGGACAGGCTCCAAAGCTACAGAGAAATCCTGTCTCAGGAAAAAAAGAAAGAAAGAAAAGAAAAGAAAAAAGTCTTACTTGCTGACATGTACTGGTTTAGGCATGAAGGTCCTAACCTGGTTCACCCTCTGCCAGAAGATATTCCTCTGTCTCTGTGGCCTGCAACTGCTTCACCATGCCTGTGGCTCCCAGCTAGACAATGCTCTTTACACCTGCCCTGGAAGTCCCCAGGCCTCCTCACACACCTTCTGCTCTGTCCTCCTACCTTGCACACCTTCCTCATGTAAACCATCTAATTTATCTGCTTACCCTCTCTCCCCTCTCTGGAATCTTTAAATAGCTTCTCACATTTGAGGTCTCCATGGGTTGCTCTGAAAGGACTCACTTCATCCCATCCCTGCTGACCTTCACACCACACCCAGCTCAGAGCTGACCCTACCGAAGGAGCTTTTCCCACTGGAGCAGAGAGCCATTGGCCTGTTCCCTCTATTTGCCCCCATTATTCACAGCCAGAATTCCACCTTCTTGTGTTCTCATTCTACCCCAAAGGAATATCTAGTCTTCTCATAAAGCGGGAACATGGTTCCTTCTACCTCTCCCAGTTTAGGGGCAAATATCTAGGTGAAGGTATTCTCCTATAGAAATAAGTGAAAGTAAAGCATAATGTCATGCAAAAGAAGGTAAACACAAAAGACTCTGGGCTGTCAAATTCTTTATATATAAAATATAAAAACAGCAACTCCATGATGCCAGGCCAGTGGTTATCCTTGGGGTCAGGAAACTTGAGGGGAGCAGAACAGGGCTTCTGGGGTGTTGGAAATGCTCATTTCTTGATCTGGGGGCTGGATGTGTGTAGTCTGAGCACACTGCCCTTCCTGATCCTAATTTCCAGAGAAAGGAAGACCTAGTATGAAATCCAGAGGGTCGATTGACATCTTACAGGGTCCAACCTCCCAACAGTAACCAGACTCTTATCCTCCTAGGCATCCATTAAATGCAACCTTGGTGATCACTTTTGAAATCACATTTCGTTCAAAAAATCTTACTATTCTGGAGCTTCCTGATGAAGTAAGTAACAGACCTTACTAACGCTTAAGGCAACACTCGGCAACGGAACACATTTTAGTTTTAATTGTGGGGGAAAGTTACCTAGGCTCCCCCAACCCCCGCGCACCCCATTCCATCATAGAAATATGTGGTTTGGGCTTTGTTGGCCTCTTTAAGGTTGAATGTTTTCTGCTATGTAGTTTGAGTGAAGGATTCACAGGATGAATGCAAGTTGAGATGAATAGCTTCTGGGTCTTCAATCCTAGAGCTGAACCATGGTTAATAATACTAAGTAAGGTACAGTGTACAGGCAGGTGCCAAAAAAATAAATAAGATAAAAAATTTTAAAAAGCCTCAGGCAAAGGTGGTTCTGAGAATGAAGAAGTTCTAAAGATATTTTAAGGCCCTGCCATGTCTTTGTATAGGAAGTATCAGCCTTGCTTTAAAACATTTTAGGAAATGAGGGGGTTCTTGGTGTGTAGAGTATTTATGTAGCATACATGAGGCTTTAGGTTCAATCTCTGCCAACACACAGAAAGGAAGGAAGGAAGGAAAAAGTTAATGTGTGTGTGGAGAGAAAGACTAACTTTCTAATTTTTGTGTTTCTAACAGAATCTCAGGCTTAGCCCAGACCTACTGGTTCAAAGTCTACATGTTAGCAGGGTCTTTGGATGACTTGGGGGGGGGGGGGTCCACATCATTCTGAGACATTGTTGGTGGTTGGGTGTTAATTGCAGAACTGTCTCAGAGGTTTTCTGGTATAATAGTGATAATCATTCATAGCTTTTTATGTTTTATCTTCTGCTTCTACATTGCCAGTCATATAAATCAGTTGTCATTGGCTAGATAAAATACTTTAATAGGGAAGCAGCAACTCCAAATAAAAACAAGCAAATGATGGGCCTGTAATCTCGGCTATTTGAGAGGCTGAAGCAGGAGGTCACAAGTTCAAGGCCTGCCTAAGCTGCAGAACAAGTTCCTAGCCAACCTGGGAAAATAGTGAGACCTGTCCCAAAATAAAAGGTAGAAAATAAAAAGCTGGAGTTAGACCTCAGTGGTGCATCTGGATGTGGTGGCACACACCTTAAATCCCAGCACTGAGGAGGCAGAGGCAAGTGAAACTCTGTGAGTTACAGACCAGCCTGATCTACTTTGCAAGTTCTAGGACAGCCAGGACTACATAGAAAGACCCTGTCTCCATGTCTCAGAGAGAAAAAAAAAAAAACAGCCAAAACAACTTCAGTTGTGGAGCATTTGGTAGCATGCACAAGGCACTAATTCAATCGCAAGTACTGAAAGAAAAGAAGAAAAAAAAAAGCTTAACATCAGTCAGCTAAGTCTGAAGGCCGTAGTGACTATTATTAACAACGAAGTATCATAATTATATATCAAATAACAGTATTTGGTTGAGGAAGGACTATGTATAGGACAATGGATTCATAAGGTTATATTACCCAATGATGTCATAACCACCTTTATTTGTGTACATACTCATTACAAATGTTTACATGACTATGAAATTGTCTAATTTCTTAGCGTAATATCCTGTTGTTAAAGGAAATGTGCCTATACTTGAAAACTGATAAAAGATTAGATCGTCAATGTTCCCACACCCAACAAAAGAATGTTAAGTATGTAAAGTAGCAAATAAGTTAATTATCTTATTTTAACCATATTGCAGTGAATACATAGATTAAAGCATCACACTTTATCATATATAACTTTTATTTGACCATAATAACAAAGGATGGGGAGGGGCTGCAAGAAAAAATGCAGGGACAACCTTGAGGTTCAAAAAACCCTGGGTGGTTGTGGATTTGGGCTACAAATCATTCTGAGCCCCCCAACAAGCAAACAGCAGTAAGAGGGGATTCAGAGTATCCCACTAAAGAGCCCCTCTGTCAGAGGTAGCCCTTATACACCCTTGTGTCCGTGGGTAGCATTGTACAGTATTAGTCACTGCAAACACACACACAGGGAGCCTCAAGGCTGAGGCGAGAATGCAACACAATGAAAGACACAGTCCTAATAGCAGGTCTACTTCAAGGCCTCTAAGCTTTGTTGGACCTGTAGGTCACATGTAGAGACTCAGAGGAACAGACACCAGTTAGTTTATATGTAGACATCGAAGTAAAGGTGTCCTGTGAAAATAAATGAAAGTCAAGAATAACAGGCAAGGAGCTGGAGAGATGGCTCAGAGGTTAAGAGCATTGCCTGCTCTTCCAGAGGTCCTGAGTTCAATTCTCAGCAACCACATGGTGGCTCACAACCATCTGTAATGAGGTCTGGTGCCCTCTTCTGGCGTATAGGCACACATGCAGGTAGAACACTGTATACATAATAAATAAATATATATTTAAAAAAAAAAAAAAGAATAACAGGCAAAAGAAACCCAACACAAAAAAATGGACTGTAAGGTTCCTTGAATAAAAAACAGTGAACTCATCGTGTCAGGCCAGTGGTTATCCTCAGGGTCAAGAGACTGGGGGCAAAGGGAGCCGAATGGAGCTTCTGGGTGTTGGAAATGCTCATTTTTTGATCTGGAGGCTAAATGTGTGCAGTGTATAGAGACACTTCATCAAGCTGTGCTGTGTGTACTTTTCTGTATAAGTATTATAGGCTAGATTTGTTTGTTTAATTAGCAGCGAGAGTCAAAACCAAACCATTTTTGGAAGATGATCATTATGAACACCTGAACCCACCTTCTCAGGCTCCTGCATCACTGGCCTCTCCCTGCCCATTCCTGTCCTGTACCTGTGGTATAAGAAGCCAATGGTCAGAACCTGGGAGTCAGGTGGTCTGGGAGTTCAGCCTAGAAGTCAGGGACTTCAGCCAGCCAGTGTTTCCCTTATTTGTAGGCATAGAGGTCATCATGGACCACATTCTGGAGATTAAAAGCAATAGCGGGAAATATAAAACAGCTGGCATTACACCTGGCAGAGCCTCAAGTCCAGTAAGAAGCCCCTGCTTGCCAGGCATCCCATTCATTGGGAGCTGAAAGCAGGGTGATCTCAAAGTCTCAGCCAGATTGTGCTGTGTTAGCAAAATCCTGTGTGTGGGTGGGCTGAGGGGTGGGGGGACAGGTGCGGTGGCTTCTACCTGTAATACCAGCACTCAGGAAACTAAGGCATGGGGTTTCTGTGAGTTTAAGACCAGCTGGAGCTACATACTAAGTTGCAAGCCAGGCAGAGCTTCATAACACGACTCTGTCTTAGAAAACCAGAGAAAGACAGAAAAAGAAACACTATGGTTTAATGAGCTGCATGCATGTGGTACTTGCAACAAAGGTTGAGAGTGGGACCTAGAATGTTATAAGGCAAATGGGGACAGTTTGATTCCAACAAGATGCCATCCAGCTCCCTGCTTCTTCAGTGTGGCAGGAAGATGACAAAAAAAAATCAGATGGCACAGGCAGGCTCCAAGCCCATCTTCCAGAAGCTGAGCTTTTGACAAACATCAAGCAGAAATGACCACAAGAGCATCTTGTGTTCCCACTTCTTCTGCTTTGCTGTTAGGCAGTGAGGCAGGGCATGGGGAAACATCCTTTATGGATTTCACTGAACATCACAACAATGGAAATAGAAATAATACTGCTCTCACAGTCGTGATATGCAGCACTCCTAGCCTGCCATGTGCCCAGTTCTGCACTGGAAGCTTTAAGGACATCATATCCAAAGCAGCCTTATGAGACAGGCACTGGTGTTACCCCCATGTACAGATGAGTAGACTGAGCTATCAGAGCTAATGAGAGGATAAAAGTTATCCTATACTCCTTTGGTGATTAGCCAGGGAGAGCTAAGGACCGGCCTATGGTTCTGCTCAGAAAACCAAATGGAAACATGGGCAGGGTGGGATTCTTGTGCTTGGTTGGTAAGTTCTCAGAAAGCAGAGCCGAGTGTGATATACTCCCAATACCCCCACCCCCATTCCCTGGCTCATGGCCTGGAGCCAGACCCTGTTAACTGTACAGGGCCGCAGATGAAATTCTGCCTTCCTAACAGGTCATAGTGCCTCCGGGAGAGAAGAATGCCTCTTTCCAAGTGACTTCTCAAAATGTTGGACAAGTGACTGTTTATCTGCACGGCAATCATTCCAACCAGACCTGGTAGGCTGGTGTCCACCCCACCCCTGTGGCCTCAGAGCAGGAAGGGTGGCCAGGCACAGATGTGCATCGGGACTTCTTCCAGAAGCTTCACCTCAATGCATCCTCACCCTAAATTCCTTTCTAGTCCCAGGATTCGGTTCTTGGTGATACATAGCAGAATCGTTAGCATCATAAACCAGGTGATTGGCTGGATCTACTTCGTGGCCTGGTCTGTCTCCTTCTACCCACAGGTGTTCCAGAACTGGAGGCGGAAAAGGTAACTTGCCCAGCTTAGAGCTGTCCCTGCAGACCCTTGTGGGGCTGCAGGAAGACACCCCTCTACATTCGTCTCTGTGCAAGTAGGATGGGGTTTCCCATGCTGTGTATTCAGTCCCTTGCCCTGTTTAACCCTTCCCTATGGGAACAATGACATGGAGCTTCTCAACTAAACCAAAAACAGACTGGGTAAGGGAAATTATGCTCTGAAGCTCCTTGGCCCTGGAAAGCTGGACACATACAACCTTTAGCCCCAGAGACTGTATAGCTCTCCTATCTTCACATTGGGTCTCAGGTCTCTTAGGGGACTGCCAAGCAGTGAGCCAGGGAAGTGGGTGCTCTCTCTCCCCTAGAGGTCTCCAGGAGGAGCCTCTGGAGTGTAGGAGGGAGAAGGGGATTGGCTCTCAAGAGGGCCAGTTGGGTGGAATCAGCCATGGTAATAGAGAGACCTCTAAGAATGGTACTGAGGCCTCCTTTCCCATGTACTAGGTTCTATGTTCCCTCCCATCCCAGAGGTTCCCTGCCTTACCCCAGCCCTACTTTTTTTCCCCTCTGCCCCCATGCAGTGTCATTGGTCTCAGCTTTGACTTCTTAGCCCTGAACTTGACCGGCTTCGTGGCCTACAGTGTTTTCAACGTTGGCCTTTTATGGGTACCCTACATCCAGGTACAGCATCGCTTGCTCCCTATAGCCCACCCAGACTGCTTCTCTTCACCTCTAAGCTTCTCCTCACCCCCAACAGGAGCAGTTTCTCCTCAAATATCCCAATGGTGTGAACCCTGTCGACAGTAATGACGTCTTCTTCAGCCTGCATGCAGTCGTTCTCACCCTGGTTGTCATCCTGCAATGCTGCCTGTATCAGGTGAGTGATGAGATCTGGTGACCTGACCTGCCACTGATGTCCTAAGCCAACCCCCACCCCATTCTACCCACGTGCCCTGAAGGAATGGTGGCATGATGACCCCCAGCCTTTTGTGGCAGAATGGATTTGGGGTGGGCTTTCCTATCCTGTCCCTGGCTTAACTGAGGGGGTGTGTCAGGAAAATGGTGTTTTCTTGGGCCAAGGCTGAATGAGGTTCTTGGTAAAGGGAAAGGCAAGATCATTCACCATGGCATGAGGGAAACTGTGAGTAGATGGGAATGGCCAGGGAGCCAACTCCTGGGAGATCAGGAGGAGCCTGGGTTCAGCTCTGTCACTGAAAAGCTACCTGGGTTTTCAGCATGGATTGGGGGTACCTAGAAGTCCCAGTGTTTCACAAGAGCACCCCTAATGTGAGCTTTACCATCGCCTTTCCATAATGTGGCACCTCCTCACGTCACAAAACCAGTGGGGGCTGTGTGACTTTCTCGAAGTTCCTTGGTTTTCTTGCACCTTTGCTGTGATGCTCTGCTGAAGGGGTCTCCCTTTGGGGTCATTTCTAGAGAAAGCTGCAGTGGGGGACAGATTCCTAGATCCCCAGGTTTCTTCCGCATCATGGGTTGAGCTATCAGCAGGCTAGGTGAGGTTTTGGGCCTCCAACACTGGGATTTATGCCCTGCACTGTTTGCTCCTCCAAATGAGCTCTGAGGTGTCCAGCTCTGTGGAGGTGGAACTTGATTGGCAGGGGCTGGAGGAGCCAACATGAATGGAACAGGAGAGCTTGACTGTAAAGGGTGAAGCTGTTGCTAGGAACTCCACACCTCATCCCAGCCCAGGCTTGATTCACTCACCACTCAGACAGAGACCAACAACAGGGTTTGGTCTCCTGCCCTGGCCTTATGCAGATACAGCCCTAGTGTTCTTGACCCCCTTTACACAGGTTACACCAAGGCCAGACTTCTGCCTCCATCCTGCATCCCTGTCCAAAGCCACCCCTTCCTGAAGCCATGAAGCAACCTTTGTGTCCACATCTACAAACCCCACCTTTTTCTCATCCTCAGCGAGGCAACCAGCATGTGTCATGGCCCTCCATTGGCTTCCTGGTACTCGCATGGCTCTTTGTGTTAGTCACCATGATTGTGGCTGCAGTCGGTGTGACCACATGGCTACAGTTCCTCTTCTGCTTCTCCTACATCAAGCTCGCCGTCACGCTGATCAAGTATTTTCCACAGGTACCTGAGAGCCTTCCTGCATTTCCATATGGCTGGTAGTGTGAAAGACAAGAAGTACTAAGCCCAGGCCCTGCTCTCATGGGGCAGCTTTTACTAAGCTAAGAAGACAAGGGTGGAAAGCTATGGTAGAAGCCAGTAAACCTAGAATGGCAAAAGGCCAGTGGATACCACGGCCTGCTCTTTCCTGGAGTCTTTCCTAATAATTAGGATTTCTCTCTCTTGCCTGCCTGCCACAATAGCCATCTCTAAGGACAAATCAGAAAAGATCAGACAGAGGAGGGAGTTGACCACAGTGGCCTTCCCCTTTGTGAAGATGTTCTCCAAAGAGGTCCCTCAGCACACTCCCCTCCCCAGTTCTTAGAGTTCAATACAGGTCCTGGAGCTTAGACTCAAGCATGTCTTTCCTGGCAAGCATGATGGCTCCAGGCTAGAGCCTGGTGTAAAGAAATGACATCCACATATGAATTCTAGAGCCGCCTTGAACTTCTCCCAACAAAGAAGCCTCAGTGCTGAGTCTTGTATCCACTGGCTACAGGCAGGGGTAGACCCTGAGGGGAAAAGTGGAGCTCTGTAGACTGTGGAAAGTGTCATTTCAGGCCTGGGTACCTGCATGGAAATCTGGCTGCTGAGCAATAATGAGAATCTAGAAACTGGGTAGCTAGAGCCAGGTCCCAAGGGATCTACATGGAGGAACCAGACTCTGTGGTAAGGCTTAAGGCTGGGAACCTGAGGCACAAACATTTGTGGGAGACATTTAGGATTATCTAGAACTGGAGAGGCAAAACTAAGTATGGGACAGAATGAGAAAGATCAGGATGGCTGCCAACAAGGCCAAGACCTCCCTCCTGCATGGTAGGAAAGGAGATGGTGCCAGCTAGAGATACTCTGAGGGCACTGTGGGTTTGGTGAGGCTGGGGCAGCAGGAAGAGGGAAATAATGCCCAAGAGTTGGAAAGCCTAGTCAGAGGTGGCAACTTTGCCACTCTATAGGTAAAAGAACTAAAAGATTCAGTAGCTTTTTCAAGATAGACCTGACTCCACAGCTGAAGCTGGATTCCACACCAGACAGTCTGGCTCCCAGCCACATTCCTAATTGTGGAGTTCAGGCTGAGATCGGGGACAAGATCACTGGAGTTCTGAAGGCTGAAAAGTCACAGTCAGACATAGTGGTACACACCTATAATCCTAGTACTTGGAGTATCTAGAAAGCTGAAGCAGGAACATGAGTTCAAGGCCAGCCTAAGCTACATAGACACTGGCTTAATAAATAAAAATTGGAGGTCTGCCTCTAAGAGGCTGAGAAGCTAGGCAGCATTCCTCCACCCCCACCCCACCCCACTGGAGTCCAAGGGTGCAGAAAGGGCAGGAAAGAAAGGAAAGCTTCCCTTGCCCTGCATACAGACTGGAGCCTGTTTCCCTAGCTCCAGTCTGTCAAAAGCCCAGAGGTCATTGTGTTCTTTGGAGCCCTGAGTTTAGTACATGAGTGGGAAGAATCAGCAGATCTCATTTGGAGTAGCAGTCACAAGGCATGTGTGGCATTGTCTGTCCCCAGGCCTACATGAACTTTTACTACAAAAGCACCGAGGGCTGGAGCATTGGCGGTGTGCTTCTGGACTTCACAGGGGGCAGCTTTAGCCTCCTCCAGATGTTTCTCCAGTCTTACAATAATGGTGAGTGTGCCAAAGCTGCTCCTACCCAATGAGTGAAAGCACAGGAGGAAGGGGCTTCCTGGGATCCCCTAGCTCATGCAGTTTCCTAGGCAAATGGGGGTCCTCACATCCCCTCACATCCACCTGCCTTAGAAGCTAAAAATAGATTCTGTTCTCTCTGGCTATTAACAGACCAATGGACACTGATCTTCGGAGACCCAACTAAGTTTGGACTTGGCGTCTTCACCATCTTCTTTGATGTTGTCTTCTTCATCCAGCACTTCTGTTTGTACAGAAAGAAACCAGGGTACGAACAGATGAACTAGAACCCAGAGACCCAGTATAAACAGCCAGGGCCTGGGCTCTGGTAGGAAAAGTTGTATCCTGCGAAGGCCAGAGAAGCAGCTGATGTACAGGGCTGGTACAGTATGCCGACGGAGAAGCACTCTCTTCAAGGGCCAAATGCCTTAAACTCAGCCTGCCTGCCTTCATCCTGGCCCCACCTGAGCCACAGAGGACTTCCTTTCTGGGACAGACACCTGACTCTACCCCAAGGCTGAAAGCCAGACTTGACGTGGTCTCTCCAACCTAAAGTTCCAGCCCCCTGCTGGGAGGCACCCAGCCCTCCTGCATCTTGATATGCCATCTCTCTTTTCTTTAAGGCTTCAAGCAGCACACACAGATCCTGACAGCCAACCCAGACAGAACTGGGCACCAAGTTTGCAGCCGATGGCCTTGCCCCAAACCACCAGTATTTCTGGAAGCAGCTTGAAGGGCTAACCTTACAGCTGGGAGAGCCAACGGTGCTTCCACCGCTGTGTTCACAGGGACCAAGCGGCCAGGTGCTGTGGCTAATGGACTCGAAGGTGCTGATGCTGGTGGTGGAGGGGAAAGAACTCTGGGGTGAGGCTCTGGGGTCCTTTCTCTGAAGGCCACATTTCTGATACTCATTCTATATAACTCTGCTTCAGTAACTGTAGGACATGTGGCCCAGGCCAGTGCCTGGTAAAGTATATTTCTGATCCCTGAGGTGCCTGCCAGATCAGTGTGAAGCAGACTCACACCAACTGCCCTCTGGATCGTTACATACAAAGACAGATATCACAGTAACTTTTTGATTTTTTTTTTTAACACTGAGGGATATTTTGAAATGGCTTGTTTTCTTTTGACCTCTTTCTTACCTCTACTTTCTGAGAGTCAGATGGAGCCCCATCTGAGTTCCCCACCCCTACTGCTCCTAACCTTACACCTATGGAGCAGGCACTCAGTACCAGCCTGTGCCTTCGAGACCCATCAGTCAATCAAGCTGTAAGAGTAGCTCCCCTAGAGGGGAGCGCAGGCTCCTTCCCCTAATCCCAAACTAGAACTCCAGTTTCTTAGCTGTTGAGGAGCCTCAGAAAAGCAAGCCCTCACCACCTATAATGCTTATGGGTCCCACCTTGACCCCAAACCTCCCTTCTCATTCCAAGTTGTCCTCCTATGCCAGACAGGGAAGGAACCAGGGTGTGCCTTGAGTTTATCAATCTGCTCTTTTTGCTTTCTACAAGACTAATACTGAGGGCCCGTTATACTTCTCATTCTTGTGTATTTTTTTGTGATTGTATCTTGTTTCATTTTGGTGGAGTATATGTCCTTAATTAAAAGGTGGCAATGCATAGGGTTGTGGAGTACACTGGCTTGAGGTGGCTGCATGTTGACCCACACTGGATCAGGGAAGCCCTCTCGGGTTCAAGATGCCTGCTCAACCAGAGTCAGGTAGGTTTGTTTCACAGTGCCTTATCTGCCAGTGCTAGGGTCTGGGACATCAGGCTGTGGATGTCAGCAGGAGTTGCTGGGTTCAGGGTGGGGCATGAAGCAGGGGTGGTGAAGATCTTACTCTGTAGGCTGAACCATCTCTAAAGTCCTGTTTCCTAGAATCAGCAGCCTGGTCAAGCCCATAGGTCACCTATAGGAGGCTAAGGCAGGAAGAACACAAGGTCATGGTCAGCTTGAACACAGCAAGAAGACTGTCTCAGGGTAAGGTAGGGATGTGGTTCACTGGCAGAAGGCTTGCCTAGTACACAGGCTTGAGACTCTGGGTTAAACAGCACCAGAATAAAAAAAAAAGTGTTACTGGGTGCTACGCTTTAAAAAGAGATTTTAAATGCTGGACTTTTTCTTTAGGAGTGCTATGACTGCAAACCCAGGACTCTGAGCATGTCAGACAGGTGCTCCATTGCTGATGCACACCTCCAGCCTTCTGAGCTTTCCTTTCCACGTTCTGATTGGCAGGGATAGGCAAGCCCCTAAGTGGCATCTGCCTGGAGTTCCCAGCTCGTCATCTAGTCAGCTCGCTCCTGTAAATATCTGGGTTTTTCCCATAAACCCGAGTTCCCTCTCGAGTGGGAACTGAAGCTAGGCTGCACAAGAGGCAGATGAGGGTTTCATAGTGACACCTCTGAGAAAATCCACTGAAGACTTCCCACAACTGCTGTGAAAGTGCTTCCGGGCATTTCCACAGTGTGGTCTCTGCACACCACAGCGTGTTCCCAGTGAGGCTTCTATGGGTACCACCAGAAATATGTGTCCAGGAAAGTAGGCCTAGGAGGAGTTGTGCTTTTCCCAGAACAGCAGGGGACAGGCTAGCCATCCTTAAAACCAAGGTACTTGTTTCATTCCACCCCGAAACACCTGCCCACCATCTCAGCAGAAACCCCTAGTAAACTTCCAGCATTGTTTATTGGGTACAAATGTTGAGCATGGGGTAGCATCATACTGCCTCATTTCCATAGTAACCAACTGGTTTAGTCACATGCTACAAGTTGCTGCTTCCAGGTGTGTGAATTAGTAAGCTAAATCCAAAAGGATAATTGAATTGGATTTTCCAAGCAATAAGATAAAAACACTTTGTATCAAAGTTGTCACTTTAAAAAATACAAAAGCTAAACCCACAGGTGTAGAGGAAAAAAATGGCAATCCTGAGAGCTGCCCTGAAATGTCAGTCTTGAAACCTGTATAAATTGTTTAAGCAGGCAGATTCTGGAGAGGCCAGCACCTGCTAGGGAAATGAAGGTAGTGGGAGCCTGCCCTCTTCCATCTAGGTGGCCTTCACACAGTCTCTGGCATATTTGGGTCCAGCTCCGGGCTGGGCCCCATGATTGGGGAAACATGGAAAGAGGCACTGAGGAAGGACAGGGCCAAGCCCTTCAGCCAGAGAAAATGGGGAAACATGGCCCTGCCTGGCATTTCCAAGCTTTGGCAGCTCTCAGAAGGTGTTTCCTGACTGCCCAGCCCCTGCTGTGGCCAAGTAGTAGGTCTCAGGCTGAGCCTATGGTCACTGTAGACTGGATACTACTCCAAGCCCTCATTTCCAACCCTCAGCATCCAAGACAGAGAGCTAGTCCCATGGCCTCAGACTGGGGTTGAGGAGTAGGAAGGTTGACTTGGACCTTGGGATCAGCTGTTACCACTCAGCTGGGGCCCAGCACACAGCAGAAGCCAGAACGAGATACAGAGCGTGGATGTGTTGTCACTACAAAAAGGTTGATGGGTACAAGTCAAGACTGTGACTGACTGCTAAGACAGCATGGACTGCTGTACCGCCTTCTGCAGAGACTGTCGCGTCACCAGCAGCCGCACCACCTCCTCCGAGCGTTTGGTGAGCCGCTTCCGAGCCTGGTCATGAGTGACCATGGTCATGTCCCAGCCGTTCACCTGGCCCAAGGAGAGAACACAGGCTACTTCAGCTCCTCGCCCTCTAGAATAGTGGTTCTCAGCCTGTGGGTCACCACCCCCTTGAGGATTGCCTAAGACTATAATGCATATCTCATATGTATATTATGATTCATAACTGCAAAATTAAAGTTATGAAGTAGCAACGAAAATAATTTTATGGTTGGGGGTCACTACAACATGAGGAACTGTATTAAAGAGTCACAGCATTAGGAAGGTTGAGAACCACTGCTGTAGAATCTGAAAGCAGGGCTTTGAGGGGCCCAAGCTACTCAAGCAGGCCCACAGGCTAATATCTCATTACATAGTGATACACAGAGCAACCAGCTATTTTAGGGGCAATAACAGCATGGCTTCAGAAACCCATCTCAACGAGTTGTTCCTCTGGGAAGCTAGGTTAGCCCTCAACCCTAAATGCTTCAGCCCCTCACCCCCAAACCTTGTTTTCCTCCTCTGGAACAACTGTACCTGCATGATCTTGTCTCCAATCTGCAGCCCAGCGATTTCAGCAGGGCCTCCCTCAGACACTCGTGTGACGTAAATGCCCTGAAAAAAGAAGCAACCCAGGTAAAGCCCTGTGGTCAGTGGATTGGCCCTTTACCCACGGAGCCCAGAAATCCCTCTATCCCTGTGCCCACCTTTCTCACCACTACATTCAGCTGGCATGGACTGTGCCATGACAGCCAGGGGGCCAGTGTAGCTGCCCCTGGGATGTTCCAGCCTGCTGATGCCCACCTCCTGCTCCTCCAGGCTGTCTCAGCATGCCTTCTACTAATCCCACCATATCATTTAGGATTGTCTAAGAAAAAACAGTCTGCTCTTTCCACACAGGCCCAGGAAGAAAAATCTGCCACCTCAGGCTTCTGAGACCCTTGTCTCTCACCTTGTCTGTTTTATCTTCTGAGAAGGGATTCTGGGAAGGGTCCTGGTCGATCCCACCTCCAATACTGAATCCCAGGATTAAGTTCTCACCTTGACGCAATTTATGAATTTCAACTCTTTGCTGGTAAAAGAAAAAGCAAGTTGTTGAGGGTAAAGGGTAGGTGGGTGGAGAAAGATCTGATCTCTGCACCCAACAGCAACCTCAAGCTGCTGATCAGCTTAGAACTATGCCAAGGGGTTGGGGTTAAGGGCCCTCTGCAGAAATCCAGCTGGTCACCTGTCTGGGAGGTTGGTGGTTGGGTCTAACCCCTACATACAGCCCTTTGCCTCCAACTTTCCCCACCCATTTTCATCCTTGTTCAATAATGTATTATGGATCCATCCTGGCCCAAGAAACAAGGTACTGTGACTGCTATAGGGAAGACACCCATATTTCTGGGGGGAGGACCACCCAGAACAAGAAAGATAACTCTGAGAATACAGATGCCTGCTGTAACTCAGATTGGCTGATTGTTGAGCAAGCCCTACAGAGATTATGAAAGCCAGGAGGTGCATGGGAGATGTAGGGAAGAAACTTGCACAGAAGAGACGAGAAGGGCTCCCTGGACAATGAGGCTGGTGTTCACAGCGCAGGACACAGGACCAGGAGGTAAAATGGGATGAAGGATGACTGTGGGGTGTAGCTCTGGTCATATCATCTCCCCAATCCTTAGGTCCTGTTCTTCAGTGTAAAGGACAGTATTCTAAGGCTTTCTCAGCATGCTCTGGGGTTGGGGTCTCTAACTGTGTCGGCTCCTTTGAAAGCCCTCAGAAAGCATCCTTCAGCTACCAAAGGTTACCTCCGAAATTGAAGGGGTCACTCGGGAGGCAGAGGCAGGGGGATCTCTGTGAGTCTGAGGCCAGCATGGTCTACAAGAGCTAGGTCTAGGACAGACTCCAAAGCTACAGAGAAACACTGCCTCAAAAAATAGGGCAAGGCATTGATGCTACAATGATCGCTGGAGTGGGTAGGGGAATGAATTTCTCATGGGTAGGGTATGGAGGCATGAAGGCATGAGCTACTTAGAAGTCACGATCCACAGACAAGGACTGATCATCCTGTCATCTGTCTAAATCAGTGGCTCTCAACCTGTGGGTCATGACCCCTGTGGGGCGAACAACCCTTTCACAGTCACCTAAGACCATCAGAAAACACAGGTATTAACATTACAATTCATAACGGCAGCAAAATCACAATTAGAAAATAGCAATTTTAGGGTTCGGGTCCCCTCATCATGAGGAACTGTATGAAAGGGCTGCAGCATTAGGAAGGTTGAGAAGCAGTCTAGATGAACATAACCATTATTCAGCTGGGGACCCAGGTAGGGTGCAGTGTAGTTGGGAGTGTCAGGAGCCACCTGCTGACATCACTTCCAGAAGGCAGATCTCTGGGGCCAGAGTTCAGGGGAGGGGACAAAATGACTGTAACAGAATCAGGATGTTAACTATATGTGAGAGGGCAAGATTGGAAGGAAAGCATCTCCACCCCGTGAGCAATGCAAGACTAGGGACAGAGGCCAGATCTGCCTGCCTATGCTCAGACATGCACCTGGCATTAGGATTGGAGGACTGTGGCCTTACAGCTTTGAGAAAGACCTGACTGGCCTGCCGAGAAGGAAGAGGAAGAAGAAACACAATGCCTAAGGCCCATTCACCTGGGGCTTCCTGCCCAAAAGTGTAAGCTGCTCCAAATCTATTCTCATTAACCACCCTTCACGGCCACCAGCAAGGTCCAAAAGGTGACAAGGCCCTGTGACTGACTTATGGGAGAAGTCAGGCAGCAGAGTGGCTCTCCCTAGGCCCTCCTGCACCCTCTCTCTTCCAGATAGTCAAGCCTGGACACCTTTCTGGAGCAGCTAGAGAGAGATCCTAGAAGTGGTGTGAAAACCAGGAAGCTGTCCACTGGCCCAGCAGTGTTTCCTTCTAGCCAGGCCTGAGCTGGGGCTTTAAGCTCACCCTCCCATGCCACCTTCATCAGTGGCTTCATTGCCCCCACCCTCTTGACTTTGGGTGCTCTCCAGCA